GGATTTCCATTCATTCATTGTTACCACAATTCAATTTTTAAGATAATAGCAAGAGTCCTTGTCGGTAAACCGACAGACAGTATCACGGTGTTGATGATGCGGTTGTTAGGTGTTCTGGGGTCCCCATGAGTCCCGCTCAGCTTGGCAGCCCTAAATGATGGAAAAGGATGGAAGTTGCTAAAAATTTTCTTTTACTTGGATCCACAATCAACACCCATGGTGGCAGCAGTCAAGAAATCAAAAGGCATGTTGCACTGAGAACATCTACTCTCAAGGACCTATTAAGCAAGAATGTCAGTTTAAAGACTAAGGTGCATCTGACCCAAAGCAAGGTATTTTTAATTGCTTCTTATGCATCTGAAAGGCTGGACAATGAATAAAGATGACATAAAAATAATCAATGCTCTTCACTGTGATGTTGGAAAAGAGCACTGAATACCCAAACAGACTGCCAAAACAATAAACAAATCTGGCTTGAAGGAAAAACAACGAAGGCGTTCTTAGAGGCAAGGATGATGAAACTTCAGCTTACACACTTTGGCCATATTGTCAGGAGGGGGCGGTCCTTGGAAACAGGATGATGCTGGGAAAGACGGAGGGTTCGAGAAAGAGAGGAAGTCCCTCAACCAGCTGGATTGACACCGCAACTGTATCAAGTGCCACGAGCGTATCGGAGATGCTGAGGACGGTGCTGAACAGGCCAAGGCTCTAGGCTCACAGAGTCACAGTGAGCTTAGCTGACTCGATGGCGCCTAACACCTCCAAGAATGTTTAAAATAAATGGTTCTATTTTAAAGAAATCCATTGGTTTCCCCAGCATTGGCTCCCTGTCTTTTCTTTACACTTAGTTGAATTTGACTGTGCAACAAAAAGAATTAAGAGTACAGATAAACACAATAGCCCTTCACAGTACTTTTTTCTTATTAAGAAAAAAGAGGAGTGAGAAAATGGGACTGTTGCTATGGCACCCGGAAGTGCAGCATCTGGTGAGATGAAGTAGCCAAATATCAGAAGCTGTGACGTCAAGTAGGGCTGTGCACGCCGAGTCTTACACACACACTCAAGCTAGGCGATTTCCATATTCCCAAGCGTAGCTCTTTGAGCATTGCTAGAGATCAAATCATTTGTGCTCAATCTATTATACAGGAAATAAATGGAATGTGGAATGCATAGTCGACATTCAGTAAACACTATCAGAAAGGATGTCGCAATAACCTTTTAAAAGCTCAGTCCTCAACAGGTAAAAATGTCATATAAATAAAACTGAGAAATGCCCTGGTTGTCGTTGCTGGAAGTGGCTGCTGGAACAGCACCAAGAATAGCACCAGAATCTATACAGTGAATAAAAGGCAAACTCCATTGTCACTGGGTTGTTAACACCTCCGAATAAAAGTGCCTCATTTCCAAGGCTAACGTCTTCCCAAAAGCAGACTGTCGTCATCTCTCTCCTGAGGAGTGGCTGCGGGGCTCCAACCGCCAACCTTTCAGCTAGCAGCCAAATCCTTTCCCCACTATGCCACTAGATAACTTCATATAGTGGATAAAGTAGGCTTACTTGGAGCATCAACCATGACAGGCAATAAAGTAATAGTAACAATAAGAAGACTAGAATTCGTCAGAGGAAATATCAAATAGAGAGAGGAGCTGTTAATGAAATATGAAAATATTCACTATGACTGTAGGTCTCTGTGAGGCTTCACTGTGTTCTCAAGCTGCTAATTTTCTACAATGTGTGCCACCCAAAGAGAACAGTAACTTGAGAAAAAAACAAGGTGCAAAGTGGTAGCAATTACCCACAACTGCTAATATGATGATGAATGATCAAAAATTCTCACTAGACTATTAGGCAACTTTATGAGGGTAGCTGGTTAATGTTTTCTTGTACCCAAGTCTTTCTATTTCAGAGTTCCAGGCAACTGGTTTTTGGTTGGGTTTTTTTTTTTGTTTGTTTTGTTGTTGTTGTTTTAACCTGGTGGTGCTATCTCTCATGCTTTACCCATTGTGATGAAATAAATACGTAGTTAAAGAGGCCCAGTGCTATCATGGTGGGCTGGTAAAGTTCTAGTAAAAGATCACTGGATGAATATAAAGAATAACAACTGGCTAGACCGCTAAGAAAAGTGAATTGAGTAATTCTAGGAGAATAGGTGAGAGGACAGATCAACAATGAACTTCAGCATGACAGAGACCATGGAAATGGTTCAGGACAGGACGTGGTTACAATCTGTTGTTTACAGGGTCTCTATGAGTCATGGTAAACTCGATGGCACCTAACAACAATAACAACACACAGCTTTTTTGTCTCTTCCTCTTCAAGTATCAGAATCAGTGCCCTCCCTCATTTAGACTAGGAATCCCTCCCTTTTTCTCCAAAGGTGTTGCTTTTGTCGTTATGTGCCTTCGAGTCGACTACAACTCAGAGTGACCCTATGAACAATAGCTCTGAGTTCTGCTCTATAGTGAGCCATTCTCACTGTCTCTGATACTCCTGTCCCACTGCCACAGTCATAGAGTCAATCCATCTCATCCAGGGACTTCCTCTGCTGAGATGACTCTCTACCCTTCTAAACATGATGTGCTTCTGCAAGCACTAGTCCCTCCTGGCAACAGGCCCAATATATGTGAGATGGGGCTTCAAAATCCTTGCCTCCAGGGAGCACCCTGGTTTCACCCTGTCCACAGCAGGACTATTTGTTCTCTTGGTAGTCCAGTGTATGTCCAATACTCTTCTCCAGCACCAGAACTGAAAAGTATCTGTTCTTCTTCTGTTATTGTCAGTCATTGTCCAGTTCTTAGATATATAGCAAGCACTTGAGAAGATCATGGCCTGGACCGGGTGCACCTTAGTCTTTAGACTGACATCATTACTCTTCAGCACTCTGGAGAGGTCCCCGACAGCAGACTACACTAAAGCAAACAATCTGTTGATTTCCTGACTGCTGATGCCAAGAGCGTTGATTTTGAATCCTCAAGATGAAATTGGTAGCCCCCTCATAGGCAGCACTGTGACTCTCCCTCATACAATCAGAGCATGCACTGCTCTGTCTCCTTTGTTTCACTTTGTGAGAAGTTTCACAGGGACAACGATTTTGATCTTGTTAAAATCATAACATTAATAAGACATTGTACAAGGCCAAGTGCTGAAACGGTAGTCAGGAAATGTTTCATGAGTTGACATAGAGACTGAGCTAGTGAATTCTAACATTGAGAAGGCTGAACAAGGCTCCTAGAACTCTAAACTGTGCTCATATGAAACCTATCCTTACACTCAAGAAGCTGTTATGTGAACAGAGTAAGAGAACCCTTTATGGTTTTAAATCAAGAAAGACGTGTGTCAGGCTGTATCTTTCTCCATGCCTATTTAATTTGTAGGCTAAGCAAATAATTTGAGATTGCTTTTTTTTTTAAGGAAAAAGTGTGGCATCAGAATTGGAAGAAGATTCATCAGCCTGCATTAAGCAGAAGACATAACCTTGTATGTTATAAGTGAGAAGGATTTGAAATGCTTGTTGCAGAAGATCAAAGACTACAGCCTTCACTATGGGTTGCATACCAACAGACAAAATTCCTCACCACGGGGCCAACAGGTAACATCATGATAAATGGAGAAAAGACTGACTACCAGCAGTCAAGAAATGAAAAGACATACTGCTCTGGGAAAGTCTGGCATCAGAACCTTTCCAAAGTACAAAGTAGTAATGGTACCAGTTAAAAGACTAAGGTGTGTCTGATTCAGGCTTTTCAATCACTTGCTATGCATCTGGAACCTGGACAATAAATAAGGATGAAAGAGGAAGAATTGATGCCTTTGAGTTGTAATGTTGGAGGTGAGTACTGAATAGCCCATGGGCTGGCAAAAGAATGGAAAGATAAGTCTTACAGAAAGTACCACTAGAGTGCTCCATAGAACTCCAAGGCTCTGGGCATGCAGTTAGGATAGGCCATTTCTCGGAAAGGGACAACTTACGTGGAAAGGCAGAGAGTCAGTGAAAGAGACCAAGACCCTCAATGAGATGAAATGTCACAGTGACTATAGCAATGAACTCAAGTATATCAGTGATGATGAGGATGGCTCAAGAATACAGGGTTCAGATCCATCGTTCATAGGGTCATAAGCTCATGAGGTGTACTTGACTTGACTGCACCTAACAACAACAAAAACTTGCACAAGAAAGTATATGCCTGCATGCATTTAATAATTCAGTCACTGAGTTTCAGTGAAACAACAGACACTACAATAAAGAAACTGTTGCTTTAAAATTACAAAGTTAAAAAATGTTTATAAAGTAACTGGCAAGAGTTGCTAAAAGGAAAAATACTGAGATGAAAGAAGATGGAAATGTACAACTATCAGAGAAGGCTTTCTAGGTGGTGATTTTGGGTTTGGGCTGTGAGGATGAACAAACACTGGACAAAGGACACAGATTTCTAGGCAAAGCAACATAAAACTGTGGCATGGGCAAGATGTGAAAATGGCTTCATGGGGCACATGGCAACTGGAATCTGGACTTTATCTCCAATGGAATGAGAATGGAGGTAGACTTTTAAACAGAGGAACAATGTAACAGAATCGAGTAGGACACTGATTCTATTATCAGCAGGAAAGAAAACATATCAGCATGAGATCTGAGAAACCAAGGACAAGGAGAATTTCCAGGGCTAACATCTTTCCGGAAGGGTACTGCCACATCTTTCACCCAGGGAACATCTGGTGGGCTCAAAGTGCAGACCTTCCACCTAACCACTGCCCCACCAGGGCTCCTCAAACAGGTGTTAGCAAAATCAAATGGAAGAAAAAATCAACATTGAACAAGATAGACTCAGCCTTTCCTGCAATCTTTGCAGCTTACTTCTGTGATATCGGCTGTCAAACTCCTGGGGAAATAATTACATTTTGCTGTAAAGTCTAATATTTAAACAACACTATTATTTGTCCTATACTCATAATAATTCAGTAATACATATGCAAACAGTGCTGCAAAATGAAGACATTTCCATACCTGAGACACTCTGCCTGTTGGAATCTGAGTCTCCGTTGCTGGAGTTGGAGTTGTTGGAGGAGTTGTTGTCAACCCCTCCCAGCAGGGGGCGCAAGTGGCTCACTGACACTTGTTCAATAAAGGACGTTCCGTACTTTCGGAAATACCACCATTCAAATATCTGGAACAGAAAAGGGCATACGGGCATTTTCCTTCCACGTAACTGTATACGACTTATGTACATATGCACACAAAATGTTTATTAAAGTAATAACTGAGGGAACCATACTTTCATTTTTTTAAAAAAAATTTAATTTGCAATAAAAGTTAAAGATTCCAATAATAATTTTAATATGCTTTAAAGATATCAAAACATCAATTAAATTTATCATTCTTACTACTGTTTTCTCCATTTGATACCACTTTGTTAAAAAAGCCTAGAACTAGAATTACAGGTAAAAGTACAATTTGGACCTGCGCAGTATTGTTTTCTTCATATTTGTATAATATGCAAGTAACAAAATCACTGTAACGTAAAGATGTCCCCAGCAGTGAATACACATTTTTTTTTTGCATTGGACATTTTTAATCAGACAATCATATGATCTAATACACTATAAATGAAAAGATGAGGAAAAATATGATTACATTCAGAGTTAAACATATTTATAGCTCCATCTTGAAATAAAATGTTGTGAGAGACAAATGCATACACATTTTAAGATGTTAAAGTTCCACTTGTCAAGCAACATCTCTTTAGAGCAACACTGGTTTCATGAAAAGTTGGGGGGAGAGGGAGTATTAGCACTGGGTGCTGAGAGGCTTCGCAATGCCCTGCGTTGATAAACGCTTATCAAACACAGACACCCCCTGTGTGTCATTAATGTTAACTAACTCACAAGTTTACCAATTATTATATACTTGCAGATACTAAATGGGAACACTTTTATTAAAGAAAAAAAGGAATAATGTCTACGTGACAAGAGAGAAATCAAAACTCCCTCCCAAAGCTCCCAAAGCAATAGAAATGCTAGCTGCTTCCCACAGCTCTTTGTACTAGGGTCTCTCTGTCCTTTACACTGTGCACTTTCCCATCACTAATCAAAGTTACTCTCTCTCATGTCCCTTCTGCTCCTCCCTGACAGACCTCAGATTTGTGTCAAAAGCAGTCAAACATCATTGCACTGGAGAAATTTCAGAAGTAACTGTTTATACCAGTGCCTCATAGAGTGAGTGTGTAACAGTTGCATAAATAACATCTAACATGGAATTGTTGTTGTTGTTGTTGTGTACCATTGAGTCAGAATCGACCCACAGCTGACCCTCCAGTGGATTTTCAGAGGCAGTTAATTGCAAAGGAGGAGATTACTCATCCTTTTCCCGTACAGCAGCTGGTGGATTCAAACTGCGTGCTTTCGGGATTGCAGCACAGCTTCTTACCACCAGAGCCCTCTAATATGGAATTAGCATAGAATTAATTACATTTATTCTTTCTTATTTCAAAGAAATAAGATTTTACAAGGAACTTTGGACTACTTTTAAAAGCCTATGTTTTACTTTTTTTTTTTTACCTCAAATACTTTTTTAAAAGGCGGCAAGAATGCCCTTGTAAGGGTGCCAAGAAGGGCAATCAAGCACTCCAAGTGTTACCAAGCCTATAGAAGGTCAATTCTATCTCATCCCAGAAGTTACCCTTTCTGATTCTATGAATTTTCATGTGTTAAAACAGCCAAGTCATTCTGTTGGGTAGACTTGGGGGGCTGTAATACAAGAGGTCAGAAGAGATCGGATCAGTCTATTACATGTAGAATGCTAGGGGAAGACCCTCTATGAGATGGATTGATTCGGTGACTGGGGTAATTGGGATGGGTGTGTCAGAGGTGGTGCGGTTGGCGCAGGATAGAGCAGGGTTTAGAGCTGTTGTGCATAGGGTCGCTATGAGTCGGAAACGACTCGATGGCACGTAACAACAACTTACTAGAAGAAAAAAGTGTCTTAAAAAAAAAAAGTAGATGGACATGGATCCAGAAGGGAGTGACTAAAGTGGAAATCACATTTATCCTCAAAGTTTCCACTTATTTTTCCCTATAACCCCATTACATTAACAATGCACATCCCTCAAGGTCGGCATATCTCAAACACTGCCATGGTGTACACCTCTTTTTGCTACTCTACAAGCCAAGTACTCTACAAGCCATCTTCTGTTACTAGATTATTGTCTGAAGGTCGTAGAAAAGTAACTATGAAGAGCGGCATTGTCACCAGACAGTCCTGGCCATCAAGTCAGTCCTTAAGAGATGAATAAGAAAGAAGGAAGAGAGGATCACAGACTGGAAAGAGCTCCAGGTTTTTGGTCTGCATTTCTCATATTGTTGCTGTTTTTGTGTACCTTCAAGTCAGAAGAGACCCACAGCTGATCATCCAGCAAGTCTTCAGAGGCAGTATATCGCACAGGAGACCGCCCATCATTCTCTCACTGGTGGATTCAAACTGTGTTCTTCTGTGCTGGTTGCACAATCCCTTACCACCAGAGCTCCCTGTATATTAACTGAATATTGTGCTGCTGGAGAATCTTCCATCCCTCCCAGTTCACTGGCCGAGTTCTCTCTAATAGGCATGAGCTGTGCTCTCCAATTGTAGTCCCTGACATTACAAATCTGTGTCACAGACCCTGATCTTTCTCACAGGCTGCCCTCCGGCATGGCCTTTCCCATCCCAAAACAACTTGAGATTCTTCAGAATTCTCAGTTTCTCCAGCAGAATCCCAGAATGTTAATACAAAAAGTAGCTTAAAATATCATCTACTATTTATAGTATGATGTCCCTCGTTAAGGATTCTCTATCCTTCCAAACACAATATCCCTCTCTAACGAACAGCTTCTCCTAACAACATGTCCAAAGTATGTAAGACAAAACTTTGTCATCTATGCCTCCAAAAACTACTCTCGCCGCATTTTATGAAAAAGAAATAATTATTTGTTCTTTTGACAGTCCATGGGCTATACAGAACTCTTCTCCAACATCACAGCTCAAAGGCATCAATTCTTCAGTGTCTAGCTTTCAGATGCCTAGAATGTGATTGAAAAGACCATGACCTGAATCAAGCACACTTTGGACATCAAACTCAAGTGTGTCAGGGATGATGAGGTTGGCACAGGACAGGACAGGTATATGTTCAAAGGTTGTGATGAGTCGTGCTCAATTCAATGCCGTCTAAGACCAACTACGACAACTACTTATAAAGCCCTCATTGATTTTTTTTTCTTCTTTTTTTTTCTCATTGATTTTTAATCTCCTCCTGTGTGATTTACAATCTCTGAAAACCCATTGGAGGGTCAGCTATGAGTCAGTCCAACATGACGGTACTGAGTTTAACTATGATAACTGCAACTTGTGCTTTCTTGAGTTTAACAATCTCTACCTCTTACTTGCAGTCAATTAACCTTCCAAACATTTTCCACTTGTTTGTCTTGGATACGCCATTTCATTATTTGTTGTTTACCTGTGTTTATTTTGGTTTGTCTGTTCTTGATCTTAAATTTTGCCTTTACTGGCTATTTATTATTTAGTTAATTTGAATGCTTTGAAATGTTATTTTCATTTTCTTAATTTGCCTTTGGGCCAGACAACTTTGCATTTTTAAGTAGTTTATGTGGTGCTTTAAATATGCACACTTGACTTTTTTATCATCTAATGAAACATAATATTGTGACACTTCATGTAGAGTATAAAATCCTCATAGTCATACGTGTATGTCACTCTCTGTGATTTTTTTGTCTTTACACACATTATGTACACATATATTATGAATCTCATAATAAAATCTTCTACATTTTGTTTGGTGGGATAAAAAGACAATCTACACCACAACACCTACTTATGGATAAGGAACAGGGACTCAAGATACCATGACCCTCTGAAAAACAATGTATTACAATTTTATAAATAAACTAGTATAATTTTTTAAAAAAGTATAATGACCTGGCCAAAGTCTACATCTAGTTCAATAATTGCTTGGCCTTGAACTCAAGCTCCCTGCCAATAGTCTTACCAGGGCTCTACAACATCTTTTTTGCAATTCTCTGGCTTCATTTAGGAAGCTCTGGTGGCTTGGAGGTAAAAAATTGTGCTGCCAACGCAAAGGTACACTGTTAGAATTGGCTGTTCCACAGGAGAAAGATGGGCAATCTCCTGTGTGATCTACTGCAGCTGAAAACTCATTGGAGGGTCAGCTTCGACTCGCTGGTACACCACCACCATCATGACTTGCTTCATTTAAACAGACAATTATAGGATGAGTGGTTTTTTTCACACCTACATTTCCAAATGCCATCCAACTCCACCTTCTATGCTTTCATTTTCTTCTCTTTTATTATTACATTTTTAAGAAAAAGAAAGCAATCATTTTGGTATCCTGGTCACATCAAAACATGCTTCCTCTTCCATACTTTCTTATTTATCAAAACTAATGCATCATCGGGAAGCTTCGGTGGAGTGATGCTCCTAATCCAAGGGTGGCATCTCTCTGGCAGTTCAAATCCACCAGCTACTTGAGAGATAAAGATGCACAATCCCCTCACATTTGATTTTCTGCCTCTGAAACCCTCCTGGGGAGTAAGTTATGAGGTGGCTCCAACTTGCCAGAAATGAGAGTTTGACAGAATCCATCAGCAGTCTACCGAAGATGAGAATAATTAATCCTAAAGTGTAAATGCCTCAGCGAACTGGACAACGACTAAGAATGACAGAAGAAGAATTGATGCCTTTGAGTTGTGGTGCTGGGGAAGAGTCCTAAAATTACCATGGACCACCAAGAAAACAAATCAGTCTGTCTTGGAGAGGCTAAAATGAAGTTTCTCCTAGGCTAGGATTTTGAAGCTCTGTCTCACACATATGGCCAGGAGAGACCAGTCCTTGGAAAAGGACATCATGCTCAGAAGAGTGGGGAGACAATGCAAGAGAGGAATATCCCGGATGAGATGGATTGATACAATAACTGGGGCAATGAGGTGAGGTGTGTCAGAGTCAGTGAGACTGTCTCAGGACAGGTCAGGCTTCAGAGCTGTTGTACATAGGGTAGCTATGAGTCATAGGCAATTTAATGACACATAACAACAACAGTAATTGAATAGTTGCTTCAGAATAGGAGATTACTCTTCCGTCTTCTATTCCTAATGCAAG